AGCAAGCAGAAACTGCGAATGCAGTTGCCCATCGCGACCGCGCCGGTGCACGCTGCGCATCTCCTCCTGTGCTCGAACAAATCTACTTTGCAACCTCGTTTCCGTGCTGGCGCATCCTTGACGCTATGCGTCATTCGTACTGTATCCACCATGGAAATGAGAAAGCGATATCGAGAAGAATTTTCTTCGCGACTTCTCCTTCCTCCTCGTCATTAACAGGATCCCTTTCACACGAAATTAGATTCGATTCTCCGAGTTATTCTTCCCTACGACGTACGCAGTTTCTTTAGCCGACGATCGAACATCCTAGCTAATCCTTCTTCGGTGTAACTTCAACCAGTTTAGGTCACGTTGCGTGGATCGGTTGTTCCGTAGAGAAAGCCTCGGGATTTGAAATTCAACGCGTGATTGGAGAATTAATCGAGAAAGTGGAAATACTTTGCTTCTCGTACACCAGGGGTGGCTAACTGGCGGCTAACTTGCCCCTACTTTCTTGATCGTTACCCTCTCCACTGCATCCATCTCCCCACTATATTGGAATTTCCTCGCTGTACACGAGCCTCCCACTCTCTTATTTCCCCACCAACCAAGCGGAGAAGAGAGAGGGCCCGCGGGCCGCTTTGTTGCACACAGTAGAAACGGTCCGCGACTGGTCAGACACACGGCCGTTCTTCGTTAATCGATCCAAGTACGGCGTCGTAATCTCTCAAAGACGATACGTTTTCCGTTCTATTTATTCCCTTTAAATTCTATTTACTACCCTCGAAAGTATCCGCCGGTAATTGCGCGAGAAAGGGAATTTTTTATGCGCCTTGCGATTCACAATTCCAACTATACGTTTTTTCCTCTGTTTCTCTCTCTTTCTCAGCTGACTTTGCAGCGAAATTTTCACGAAATTCATTCGCAACATGCCACTTCTTTCGTTCTTTCGACTCTAAAAGTGAACCATTCGAGGAATTTGTCTTTTGCCATTAAACTGAAAGATCTTGCGCGTGTAATCCCCGACGCAGAGGTCTTTCAGATCTTCAGTATCCGCGTATGGAGATGGCAAAGGGAGGAGATACCTCTGGTGGGATTTTATTCAACGCCGAGGACCGGGAACAGGATTTCGGGGCAGTTTCAAAGGATTCGACGTCGCAAAGATGTCGCTCTGATTATCAAAGCCCGGGCTCGCGCTTGACGTTTCGCGGAATCTTTCTCGTCGACGCGCCTCTTTCCGCCAAAGACAACGGTTTCGCAACGGGGAAAAATCCCTTATTCCGCGAGTTTGAAAACAAGACCATCGCGCGAAAGCGAGAGAGATCATCTTTCTCTTTCACGAGACAGCGAGAGGTTCGGATTGTGCGACGGAGTATTCTGTGGCGTTCTCGTTTCACCCGCCTCCTCGCCGCCACGGTAGTTAAAACCGGCGAGAACGTTTTTGAGAAAAGCGCGGGAAACTTGAGGTATCCGCGCGGCGAAACTTTCAGTCACTTTCAGCCGTATTTCCTTTTGTACTCAGAGAAACAGCTAGAAAAGACGTACAATGCCGTGAGAATTGTACAGAGGCAAGGACGTATTTGTGCACGACGCTGTAAAAAAGTAATTAACTCGAGTTTCTTTGCATAGAGCATCGTATTGTACGCATGTAATTATGCGACATGCGAGAAAATTGATGCGGCGTACTTGTAACGACGCTTTTTATTCAATACAAGTGACAAATCCCAAACGTTACGCGAAATGTTTGTTACCGAACACCGTTACGAGAGTATCGAGAATTTTACAAGCATTGTGAATGCAAAGTGGATCCAAGCGAATACCTAATTGAACGGGGGGAAGCAACAGACAGACAGCTTTCCTTCCACGAACAGTGAAAATTATAAAAATTGAGAATTACGCGCTTTTGAATATTTTTGCTTTAAACGATCGAGCCCGCCTATTTTTGTTAACAACCGTGACAATTGTGTCCCTGTGTCACTATGGATCTCCATACCATAAATATTTCAGTATCCAGAAGTTCAGCCCGAATACATTTAAACTTACACAAAGTGGAGCGTAGTTAATTCGTATTCATTACCGGGTATATCGTTACAATGGTGCTGCAATTAGAATACGCGGGGGGTATAAATTATTCAAAATCCTTTGGCATATCAGCAACGATAAAGTGGAAAGGATCAAAATGCTCGCGACACTTGCCCGAGGTGCAAGTACCTCGACTAAATTACCCTTTCGCGACTGAACAAATATCATTAGCAAATATCTCTCTCTCTCTCTTTCTCTCTAGAACGGTGATAAATTACATATTCTCCCTGCGAACAAAACGTGCCTCGATCTCTATGGCAAAAATACTTGCAACATGAAAAATGGTACGCCGGAAGGATTAACGGGGCGATCGATGTTTCTGTAAGCTGGTGCACGCCACCGTTTGGATGCGTTAACGATAAGAGATGGCTGCGTTATCTCTCTGCTGTTTTCTCCCGCGTAAAGCAGCACGAAGCCACATTTATCTGGAGGGGGGGGTGGGGGAAGGCAAACTCAATGTCAGATAAGCTAACCGAGCCTGAGGGAACGTTCCCGAATCGCATATATAGCAAACATTGGCGGTAACGATGTAAGTTCCTCTTACTTGAGGGAAACTGTTCTCCGGTGTGCGCCGGTACACACAACCAAAGAAACTAGACTAGTCGCTGCTATTGCTGGCGAAACTCGGCTAATCTTCGGACAAAGTATTGTCCTGGCGTAGAAAAGGAGAACGTTCCTTCGACAAACAAGCCGTTGTTTTACTGATGCTGGGACTGCATCCGGTTATAGTTTTTTTTTTCCCCCCCCCCCCCCCCCGCCCCCTGGAATTTGTCTTCTCTCTCGGTGATTAAATTTCTATCCCCTTGACGACTTTCGTCGACGAAAGCTATTTTCGAACGGTATATAATTTCGGATTCGGCAAGATTTCAAATTACTTAAACGGCGAAAAATCTCGTCAAATCGCCGTCGCCGAGACACGAGCCACAAAGATGGATAGTTCTCGAGTATAATTCGCAATAGATCGATCTTACCGATGCAACGGAGCGAGAAGATTACGCGAGAAGAAGGACGGAGAACTCTGGCATCGATGGAACCGCGAATAATTCCCCCAGAGCGATTAAAAACGGTCGTGAGAACGATGCTTATGGTCTCTTTCTTCGCGGTCGGGCTGTGAAAAGAATCACGAATTTCGCGGAGCTCGCGATTGCAATGGCCCCCCGTGGAAAAAGGTCAAGGAGGCGGAAGGAGGAACAAAGAGACGGCCGCTGCGAAAACGGGAGTTGGACAGACGAGGAACGATAAAGGGGGAAACAGGAGCGACGAAAACAATGCGCAGGGCATGTTTAGCTTGGTGCCGGCGTTGCACGTTATTTAGGTGCCAGTACGCGCCATTTGTATTTCCGTGCACGCGTGCGCTACAAAAATTCACGATATTCCCTACCATTCTGCATCCCACCCCGGCGACTGGAGGAGAAACCGATGCCCTGTTTCCGTATTACATGCCACGATCGCACGTCCATGTTTTCGGAAATGAATTTCCTCGTTCCCCGATCTGCGGAGAAAACCCCTTGAATTTGTCGTTCGATCCGCCATCGCGAGGAAAGTGGCTCGTTCAACGAAACGGACGGAACGCCTTTTGGAAATCTATCGGTCTCTCTTTTAACTTTCTTCTCGACAGATGATAAAGTAGCTTTTTGATGATTTGAAGTAGCTTTTTTTTGTCGTTTTAGTGCCACGATCGCGCTGTTCAATTCGCGTGTCGAACAGTGCCGCAGTATTTTTGGTCGAGATACACTCGATTTCGATTATAGTGCCATATCATCGAACCTACCTCTCCTAATTACTTTCTTATCAATTAAAACGAAACCACGTGCATAAATAGACAGTTTTTACTTCATCTACTTTTATTTACAGGGCATACACTAGCGGACAAAATTATAAAACACACGTTGTCAAATTACTGGTACAAAAAGATTTCGTTATATTTGTTGTAAACAAGTCAAAGTTATCTAATTTCGAATAATTTCCATTTCAATTAAACGAACATTTCAAATTCTTCAGAATCAAGCAAAAATAATACAATTTCACCCGGACAAAATTATAAGATACTAACAAAAAAAAAAAAAGAAACAAAAGTAGTCTTCGTAATTAAACGAAATTTTCGAGCTTTTTTTTTTAATGTTAATAGTGAGTCCTCCTCTATTTCGTAGAACTGCGATCATTCGATTTGGTAAGGTTTTGAATCGTTTTTTTTTTTTTTTTTACGCAATAAAAAAGTAATTACACCGAAGAAGCGTTATCACGCCGCGTGGCACTTTGCAACACGGTTTTTTAAATAGCCCGTGGCACTAAAATGGTTAAAGAAAGAATAGAGCACCGTCTTCTCGCGTTTGGACTTGTCAAGTCTCGAAAGCGATAGAATTGTCACGATAGACGTGAGATTCGTTATTCACGAAGCATGTGAGTTGTAATGCGTGACAGGGACGCTTTCACGAGCCATTTGTGCAACGTTTGAAAAATTATGAAACGAATTCCTTGCTGGGACCTCTGTCCATTGCTACTTTATAGAAGATAAATTGAAACGAAAAATTAATGTACCCCGACCGAGGTTTAGGAGTAAACGATTAAAAAAGGAAGGAACTAAACTGCACTAAAGCATTAAAGCATTAAAGAGTTAAAATGCATTTTGAAACGAAATACATCAGGCACGAATATCTATCATCCGGTCGTGCACATCATTTATTAGTTTCGAGAATTCAATTAAACTTTTACACTGTTGCGATATTAAGCATATAACTGCGTCGATATTCCGATAGCACGCGCGTGTCCAAACGTACGTACGTGCGCAAAATTGGAACAAAATACACACCGCCGTTCGTTGATCCGTTTGATCCGTTAAGTTGGAGATGCGCGTGTGGAGAATTGCCGCCGTTATATTCACTCCGGAGAATAGTTCCTCTGCTAATGTATTAACCAGATACGTCTAAACTTATCCCAAACTACTCGACATTTTGATACTTCGGAGAACTATCAACCGGAGAGTATCGAAATTGACTGAGAGCTTGATTCTCGCTGTCGAGAATGATCGATGCGATCATAGCTCGAAATCCACTCTAGATGAGTTTCGCACTCAGGGGAAGTGCGCAACTTCAACCACGTGAATCGTTGTATCGTCGGGCGAATACGAATTCGCGAATACGAATAAATCGTACGTAATTAATCCGCGTAGTGTACGTTACGAAAAATAATAATCGCGGATGATGACGGTCGATATCAATGTGTCCAGAGAGGCTGAGAAATTGTACCGACAAAGAGTAATCGGACAGCGTGATGTGTAATTAGTTCTGAAAAATTCATCTTCCCCGCGAACGTGGTATCGAACGTGGTATAGCGCGACCGTTTAAAGGTTACAACCGTGTGCACCGGCATTAGCAAAATCTACAAAGTAATTACGCGGGTGCGCGCTTGAAATAGAACGACGAATCTGGGCACAATAGAGGACACGGCTTAATCCGACTTCTAATTACACGTAAAACCAGCAGGTTCTCCACGTACTCTGTCTGAACGGAAATTTCCCCGAAGCTTCTACTAATCATTTCTAATGATGCTCGAAACATTATCCGCGCTTCCTATTTCCATCTAGTACATGTGACTCTACACGGTCCGTCATAAATCATTTTCACGACAAATGTTGCGCACGCGGTCTTCGCGTCTGAATTAATTACTAACGCAATATCGCATGCATTGTGTACCAGCGCGAAAAGTTCTAGCTTTCTAGCAAATAATCACCTCGAAAAGGTGAAACGCGATCGAAACGAGAAAAGAACTCGAGTCCAGAAACCCGATGTTCGAGTGCGTCTCGAATAAATTTAGGAACCTCCCTGCTTCGAACCATTACGCGTGCGTGTATATATCGAATCGCACGCAGGGACGTGGAAAAAAATATTAAAAAAAAAATAAAAGTTCGATTGACCAAACTAACAGGACCTTCGCTCGATGATTTACAAGGGGAGGTCTAACCGTGAAACTGACGCGTGAAGTCTAGACGATGATTGATGAGAGCGTAGATGCATCGCGCGCGTGTTACTGTTTTTCGCGACCTCCGAGTGCAGCACCAATGAACACTTCCCGTTTCGTCGATGCATCTTGTACACATCCAGGTTGTACACGTGACTGGTCGTAACATCGGTGATTGGGCTTTGTGTTCGTTTTAATGTCATTTCCCTCCGTGTGTGCATGCACGGAATCTACGTGTACGTTTCACACTGATGCGCGCGTGTGTATATACGTGCAGGAACATGGGGATGCATGTTTAAAAGCGCGTGTGCAACGTTGCTCGCCACCGGCCTGTGACTCTCTCTCCTTCCCCCCCATGTGTATATGTGTGTATATATATATAATGTGTGTGTGTGTGTGTATGTGTGGATGCAGAGTGCACACGTATCTATCGAAGCCCCGTTTCGTGGCAACACAAACTTCGTTCTCGGCCCGAAGAGAAAAAAAAGGACGCGGCGATACGTTTCTAATTACGAACCAGGTCGCGATTGGGTACATTGGTCCCTCCCGCCGTTGACACGGCAGTTTAAACAAGGAATTTCCTTTTTCCATATTACTTCTTTCTTTTTTTTCCTTTTTGGCTTTCTTTCCTCGCAAACGCGAGACTCTGTCGTTTGACTTTGTTCGTAATTACGTATCGACGTCGTGTCCCCTTGGCTCTCTCGAATCCTTCCTCTATCTAAAAAAAAAAAAACCTTTCGAAACGATTCTAGAAAAGAGAAGCAGAGAAAAAGAACGTTAGATTATCGAACGATTTTCGATGCTACGATGTATGTATACACGTATGTATACACTTTGGAATCGAAGCTCTCTCATCGGATCGATGTCCAAAGGTGTATTTTTCTATATATATATATATAGCGAATACAATTTTCTTCTTAATTAGAGAAAATTCATGCAAGGATCGCAAGATGTCAATCGTGAAACGAAATACGAGAGAAAGACGGCATGCAAAGAAAAAACAAGAGTGTCAAGAAAACTGGTTCGTGCTACTGGAAGCAAGAAGAAAGCGATGCAGAAAGGACGTTCTGTCTATTGCAACTCACTTAACACTCGCACCTCGATAAAACGAGCACACTTTTCCTTTTCGGTGTGACATTACACATACACGGCTGAGACTTGTCGGTACTGTGTGCGGTGTGCGTGTTACGTTAGAGAGAAGGTCTTTTATGCGTTCTGTACAGAGGAACTTTTGAAGTTGCTGTTGAAAACTTACAACGTCGATTATTTGCATTAGTGTAAGGCCAAAGCTCAACACGAGGGGCTCGGACTCATTGCCAACCGGACGCTCCAGCACGTTGTACGTATCCAGCAGGTCGTTTAGCAGTCGTTTCTCGTGTGAACCGCCGTTTACCAGCCCTGACCAATTATCATTTATACTCAGTCATCTCTGTGCAACCACGATCTTTAAGCCACTTTGAGCCCCCGACTAGCCTCGTCGAGTCTCGAGTCCTTCCGCGGTCCACGCTCACATTCTTCCGTCTCCCTTTGTCCGAAATTACTCACCGAGAGAGAGTTTAAAGTATATTTTTGTTTTTTCTTTTTTTTTCTTTTTGTTTTTTTAACTTTTTCTTCTTTTTTTTCTCTTTCTCTTTTTTCTTTTCTTTTTTTTTTTTCAACAAGTAACAATCACGTTAGGTAAGAAGGCAGAGATCTGACAATTGAGAACTCTGTCAGTCAGACGAAATCGAGGATGAGGACTCTCGTTCGTGGTATTTATTTATGTATCGTCTTGTTTGGAAATAGTTGTGTGTCAACTAGATATAAGAATTTTGTAGAGAGCTTGCGTACGTGGAACACGGAATGTTAGTCGGCGTGGTTCAAAGTGTACATGTTCCGAGCCTACATCGCTCGCTTTTTCAAGCAAGAATGTAGAAACGAGAAATATATATGGAATGCAAAAAACATGTATAGAATTCTAGTTTGTAGAATACTTTTGCTAAAAGAAAAAGAAAAAGAAAGGGCAGAAACAAGTGTCTTCAGATATCCGTGAGTCTTTGAATTTCGCACGCTTACGATCGACCTGTGAATAGAAACAGACATTGACTTTTTCGTCCTGTTTAAAAGCTGCGTGTCACGAGTCAACGTGTCAGGACAAGGCAATTGTACGACAACGGCCACGTGTATCGAGACGAGATCAAACAAAAAAACAAAAAAAAAAAAAATGCGTAACATTTCAAAAGAAAAAAAATTCCCGGTATCTTTTCTCGACGTTGTACAAGATTGCGAGTCCATACCGCGTGGAAATTCACACTCGAATCGTCGAATATCGTAAGGGGGAAACTGGACGATTTTGTTCGCAGACCTACGTATTTATCGACGACTGGCCCTCGTCCTATCGATGACGTATCGCTTCGTGTCGACGGAAAGAAAAACGAAAGAAAAAAGGAGAAAACGATGATACAAATTTCTGTCGAGTCTGTTAAAAAAACATTTATCTTTTTTCGATTTATCCCCTGCTCTCCCTCCCCTCCCACCCCCGCTCTCTTCCCTGTTCAGTCGCTTTTACGAGTCTTCGCCCTACGGTGAAGTTTCGCGCTACTTTTCGCGAATATACAACTTCGTAATCTCACTTTCTACATCTCCATCCTCCTCTCTCTCTCTCTCTCTCTCTCTCTCTCTCTCTCTCATCCCTCTTGGCACTTGCCAATTTTCCGTCTCTCTTTCTCGTCTCTTTTTTTTTTCCTGTTGCTCGTTCGCAGAACGACACACACAACGTTCGATATCCTGTCCCGTGAAACGGCTCGTTATTAAAGAAATCGCCGACGCGATACTTCGCGGTTACTCTAAGAAGACTAGACTCTAAGAATCTCGCGAGTAAGGAAACATTGCACGAGCGATCAGCGACCAGTGATCGAAATTTTTGCGATAACTTTGAGCAACTTTTTCGCTTCAGTTTCTCCGATGACCCACAGTAAACGTTTCAAGATTTGCTCTCGTATCGGCGGCTAACGCAACGATTGATTGTACGTACGAGAGAGAATGTACGTGCACGTCTTCCGTTATCAGTGTTTTGCCTCTGAAGCAGAACCCTTTCGGAAGCGATTCGAATCACGAGAGAATTCCCATTCCCATCCACGAGGAAGGGGGGAAAATTCCTCGCATCACCGATACGTCGTTGCATTTGGCACGCTACATTGGCGAGCGTACTTTATCGTTAGCATATCCGAGTTTGCGATTACAACACGCCCAACGACCGACATCGCGTATGCACGCACGTTTCGCGTTTCGATATGAAACCGGTATTGGAATGCTAAAGCGAGATCTAAATTTCGAGTAGCCTCGATTTGACCCGACTCGATTCGTTTCGTTACAGTGCCGTCCAATTTCGTTGGACGTTGCAACGCGCACACTTTTTTCGACAGCATTTCGAATTCGGAACAGCTGGTCGAATATGCTCGAAATAATTTACGAATGAAAATTTCTACGTGATCGCCGCGGGAAATTATAAATTCGACAAACTTGTTTCCTTCTTTCTCTCTTCTCTTTTCTTTTTCTTTTCGTTTCTGTTCCGGACTGCGCCAAACAACAAGATGGGACACAGCCGGACTAAACAGCGAAACATTTGCCGTTCATTGTTTCGGGAGAACGTGCCCCGTTAATTGGATTCACGAATGCGAATTGAATATGTAAAGCCAGTTAAAGAGCAGAAGCTTGCTTCCGAGAGTTTGCATCGTTCTGCAGGACAGGCTGCGACTTTGCAAATCGACGAGAACTTCGGGAGGAAGAGGGGGGGAAAAAAGTGCCTCGAATCGAGAACACTCTTGTTCCTTGCTGTTTCATAGATTTATTCTTTCCCGGGTCGTCGTTCAACGCGCGTTCCGCGCTCCGTTTTCGAAATTTTCATTTCCTTTCCCTTTCCCCGCCCTCTTTCTTTTTAATATCGGAACGAATATTCGAACGTCACTGAGATTAAAGCACGACGTGTATAAAGTGTAAAGTTGGAGACTTGTGAGCGCGTTTGTATTGGAATAAAAAAAGAAAAAAAGAAAAAAAAATATAGGATAAATGTTAATGGGATACGAACGATGCCATGGTTTCTGCCTTTCTCTGAGAGAAAAGAGAGAGAGAGAGGAGAAAAAAAAATGCCATTATCGGAATCGAACCATTTTCACGCCGATAATTTTACCGCGGAATGAAGTCCGTTCCGTTCAACGGTGAATGCGCCGTTCCACTGGACGAAACAATGGGCTGCAATCGACCCATTTTCATTAACACGATCATATTTCATAAGACGCGTTTCATAAATGCCGGCATTAGTAAACAGGAAATGAACGGCAGACAAATTTTTTTTTTTTTCTTCGTCGTACATACATACATACATACATATATATCAGGGCAGGAAATATCAGAGTTTTGGAGTTATCGACGATCGCTCAGAATATAATATCCACAGATTTGCATTTAACCAGATGATTTTATCAGCGTCAAACCATTACATGTTTATACAGGTTTATACATAGGTTCGATTAGAAATAACGGAGAGATGTTCCCCTGGGTGGGACTGGTTAGGAATTCATAGGCGAGTTGTTCGCACACGCTTCGAGATTTATAGCCAGCCGAGATCGGGGGAGTCGCGCGCGTGTCGAGGAATCGCTAGGAGAACCCCATGAAACAACCCTCGGCTCGCGAAGAAAGAAAGAAAGAAAGAAAGAAAGAAATCGCTGACCCGGTGCCGGTTCGTAGTGGCAGCGATTTGCAGCGATTTTCACCGATTTTATTTGTCGGCCTCCGGATGAATTATCTCGAAAGTTCGCTCGTCGGAGAAACTCGCGACGTCGTTTTAATCGAGACGAAGCGAGAGAAAAACGGGGTGAACCGGGGTGAAGCGGGACCGACCAGTTTAAGTGAAAACTCGCGAAATGGTTGGTTGAAACGTGGCGCGAACGAGATTGCCGTCACAAATTGTCTAATAATTTTCACGCGAAAGAAAAATCGTGGCTCTTTGCAAGCAAGCGCGTGTGTGTACATTTTTATTGCACCGTGATTTTACCCGCGCAGGGCCGTGAATTTTTCTGTACCGCGAAACGGACTCGCGAGGAAATGAGTTACGAGACGGCAACAGAGAGAGACGTAACCGTTCCATATTTCTCGCCGCCGGCGTAAATAAAGATCAACTGGGAGAGTAACGTTCCTCTAAGCATATCGGGGGAAAGAAAAATGGATTCGGTGATGCACGGAGGATTTATGCATCCGTTTTTCGGATTATCCCACTCTATATCACCGTGGAATGCTAAGATCGCGCGTTGCAACTGTATGTACGTTACGTATGGTCCCTCGTATGGTTTCGTCGGAAAAATGTACCTGTGCAACTTGATATTTTCAACACCTTGAGAAAGAAAAGAAAAAAAGAAAAAAAATACTAGCAGAGGATCTCGTACGTCGTGGAAAGGTAACTGGTTGCGAGCAATTGAGACGGTAAATCTTACGCGGGGGACGGCTCGAAACGTTCGCGAAAACTTTGGAAACTTTCCTGGAAGATACGCCAGAAGAAACGCTCGAGCCGTAATTTTTCAAACACGAAGCATTTAACACTGGCGATAGTTCGACTTCGTCTTGCCAGCAGAGCCATCGGGCGGAACGTGAAATTTACATTTTTCTCGACTGAATGAAATTCCGTTCTTCCGACACTTTTCCCCCGTCCCGTCGTTTAAACTGCATAATTCGCGCGATAACGCGAATGACCCGATATAATTCGCACAGCGAAATATGTATCTCGCCAGTGCGAGCGACAAAATGATATTTTTTCTCATTTTTTTCCCCTCGCGAGAGTGTACACTTTGTAGGTTTGCTCGAAGCCAGGATTGAAGGCTGAACTTTTTTCCCGACCAGAGAGAGAGAGAGAGAGAGAGAGAGAGACCGATTAAAAAGTTTTCGAACCTCCGAACGTACATACGTTTCGTACATAGGCCCAGTTAATCCTGTGGACAACAAGTCGGCAAAAAATGGTCTTGGCTTTCTGGTGATATTTCACTTTTGTCCGATTGGATAGAAAATAACGAGCAATGTGTATCGGGCTGTATCCCGCAACGGCAACGCCAGAAAGAAAGCGTTTGCCAATAATTTTCTCCAAAAATCGGTTGCTTCGTGTCGGTTCGCTGTGCATGGAAGCGGCGTTTGATTCGCTCGAGAATGTTCCCCGGCGTATGACAACGGACCACCAGCCACGGAAATGTCGCATTTTCCAGAGAACTCACCCGGAAACGTCTCGGCTTGTCTCGCCGGTGTTACGTTCGCTCGGAAAACGTTGAGAAAAGCGTGCACATTTTCCTTAGAGAAACGAAGAATTCCTTAATATTTTCAGCGAAAGTGAATCTCTCGATCTCAGACGCGATTCACACTTGATGAAACCTTCGCGA